AAATTAAAAAAGAAAGACAATCAGCAACAAAATGAACATGAATATATTTTAAAAGTAAGAGGAATAACCTTAAATTATGATATCGTCAACAATCAAGGATTAAGATATGAAACGTTCAAAAGACAAGTCATCAAATACGCAAAAACAGGAAATAATGAACCAATTAAAATAATGTATCCCTCATTTTTATGTCCCTCAATTAAAAATTTAAATGTATCCACACTATCCCGCCATAAAATATCTAGACCTTTTGTTGGGAAAGGGATAATCAGACCCTCCGATTTTTCTGTATTAAATTTTGGTCATATTTAATTTTTAAAAATTATATCTATTGTTATTTTTTTATAATGTTTATTTTTATTTACTTTCATTTAATATTTGTAATAAATAAATTTGTAATAAATATTTGAAATTATGTAATTGTTTTTTTAAATCACCATCCGTTACAATAATAACTTGGTTTCAACAAATCTTCATCAAAATTTTCTTCTTCCTCGTCAGCTACAATTATTGATTTAGTTTTAGAAGTTTTAGATGTCTGCATGTTGTCACTTGTAAATTTTATGTTTTCAGAGAAATTGGAAATTTTTTCTTTCTCCTCCTCTTTAACAAGTTCAAGCAATTCCAATGGGTAATATCGATTTTCTTGAAATGATCCTTTTTTGTTTGGAAATTGTTCGATAATACAATGAAGATAAGGATTTAAAAGTCGTATTCGATGTCTTGCATAAAAATGTGCTGTGACAGAAATGTTGAAAGGTTTTGCAAGTTTTCCATATGCTGGTATAACGTTTGCCCCCTCCTTTGATAAGCCACCAATTATAAAACTTTTTTTCATTCCATTTTTGTCAGTGTATGTTGTCTCAACCTTACGATCTTGAAGCTTTTTCAGAACTAAATTTCTATTTTCTGGGTGATTAAGATGACATCTAAGCGATTTGACGGTACAACATAAAATATTTGCACATTCTTCAGTTACAAGGACCATTTTTAAAATGAAATTAAAATTAATATTAATTAGTTTATATACTCTTTTTTTGTTTACAAAATTTTAAGGACCGCCCACATTGACAATATAAATAGCCAGAGTTTATCCATACATATACTCATTCGCAAAATTATTCAGAAAATTCTTTAAATGGAAAAAATTAACGAAACTGAAATGAGTCCTGGTAATATTTCTGAAACCAAAACTACTAGTGAACCTTTCTGGAAATTATTTAGAGGAAAATTTCTTCTGACGTTTTCACTTTGTGCAGGTTAATATATTGCTTTTTATTAAAATTTTAAAAATTCTTAGAATGTCGGGACAGTGTATTTAAAAAGAGTGACAAAGCAGTTCGAAAAGCAGAAAAGATTGAAATTAAATTTGAAATTTGTGACGGATGCTATAAGAAGAATTGTAAATCTACAGATATTTTATCACCATACACGCCAAAGAAAATATAATCAATGATAACAATTTTTCAAGATAAACAATTTATTTAATATTATTCAAATTTAAACTTATTTGTAAAATTTTAAAAAAATAAACAATTCAATAATAAAACGTTGCATATTTTATTATTTGGGCACAATCAGCACATACAAAAAATTTATATTTGTATGTATTTCCTTTTTCAACCTTTATGATTTCATCTTGCTCCTTTTTAAGTATTTTTGTACGGCAATGATCACACCATGTTGAGAGCTCAAAATTGTGATCCAAGAATGTGAATAACGTGGACGAATCCAATTTCTCACCATTTTTAATCATTTGATTCAGATCTTTAGTTAAAGGATGCCAGGAACAATCCCAAAATTCTGTAGTTCCCTAAATATTGAAAATAAATTTGATTTTTTATAAAGATTTACCTCCAAAACATTTTGTTCAACAACTTTGACCGGTATAGAGGATATAGGATCACTTGGAAGCTTCTAAAATATTAAAGATAAGAGACTTTATAAAAATATCTACCTCTTGATTTATATCATTTATATTTAAGAAAGAAGCGAAAGTTTGTTCCATTGCGAATTTAAAGTATTATAAATTGTTTTAATAATCTATAAAATATTTTTGATTTTATTTTAAACATTGTAAGAAAAAATGGCAAAAGTATATAAAACAGATAAAACAAAAAATTCCAACTATTAAGAGTTCAGGAAAAGTAAAATTCGTTTTATCTTTATATATGTCAGCCTTCCTCTATTTATGAAAATAAAAGCGAAGCCAAGCGAAATTTAAATATTATGATTTTAAATATTTATGATTTCTTATGATTTTCATTAATTTCCAAAAATTTTTGTTCGTTTCAGAATTCACTTAAAAGATCTATTATTATCCTTAATTTTTAATTTAATTTTTAATGGACAACATTACGTCAAACAAAAATGAGGAATATGATATTGCTGTAATTGTAGAGGTTAATTAAGTAAATATTAAATAATTTTAATTTAATTCAGGGAATATGTTTATATAAAAATTTTTACAAACGAGAATATCTCAATTCAATGAACATTACTTTAAAAGAAGGGAAAACTTTCGATATAGGTGCAAGACTTAGTATGTTGATAAATTACTTTAGAGCTGGAAAGTGGTGTCCTGACTGTCTAAAATTCACTTTGACAAGAGATCAGAATGAAATTTTCAACACAAAAGATGAAATTTCGTTCATTTATCTACTTTATCTTTGCTCAGATTGTGCTAAAATCACCAAAAATAAACTCAATAATTAATCATTTTATTCACTATATTAGTTACAAATAAATCTGGATTTGCTTGTTTATTTAATATTTCAAGGTATTGGTCAAAAGTATAACCTTTTGAGAAAAAATATATAAAAGAGATGCAATGCTGGGAACAAGTATTGGCATATTCGGATTGATAAGGTTTTAGATTTTTTGAAATTTTGGAAAAATTTTTGAGAAAGGAGTTAATTATGCATATACTAGTAGGGAGTGCCAAGCTATCAAAATATATCACTTCATCATTATATTTTATGTAAACAACAACCCAGTGAGAACCTTCATAACCAAAAGGGTCCAAATTGACAATTAGCATTTTTCCTTTTGTTGAAGTCGGATCAGGCAGACAATTACAAGGGAAGCATCCTAGGAAGATTCGTGATGTTTGGTGATTTGTCCTCAGAATTTTTGTAATCTGACTTGCGTACATTATTAAAATTGAATCTGAACCAAAGTACTGATCGAAGTTGATAAATAATTAGACTAGCTAATAACATGGCATACAAACATATCATTCCCCAGCAGAATACATGTCCATAAAAATTATTGTCTTTTGGACTTTCCTTGCAAAGCGATGGCAGATTATCGAAATTAATAAAATTTGGTACTGGAGCAACAATTTTTTGCTTTGAAGGTAAAAGAGGATTTCCTGTAATATTTTCTCCTCTGTAATATTTAACAAGTTCAGAATATTCTGGTAAATTATCCAATTTTATAGTACCATCTGTTGATAATGCCTCGATTAGTGGAACAAAAATTCTAATTAGAAAAACTATTTTCAAAATATTATTCATTTTTAAATGATTTTCCTCAAAATTCTTTCATATTTATACTTTTTTTAAAAAAATTTTTAAAATATGGGTTAATGTTTTACTTGTATCAAAAATAAATTCTAAAAGGAATAAATTTATCTATTTAAAATAATTACAATATGAAAGGTTAGAATTTATATAGTGGTATCACTTGCGATTGTTCTATTTTTATCTAACATTATGAGTGAATCTGCTTCTCCCATTACTATAAGCATTATTCCTCCCTCAGGTACAGGTTTGCTAAACTTAATATTTACAGCCGTTGTTCCATTTTTAATTAAATCAAAAGTTCCTCCTTGATCTTCTCCGCTATTTGTTAGGTTAAAAACATAGATACAATGTGTTTTACCATATTGTTGTAAAGTTATTCCATTGCTCTCCGTTGAATTTGCTAAACCAATTGCCTCATTCATATCATTAAATGCTCGAACATATTTTCCATTTTCATAATCAAAGTCATACGGTGCTTGTGGATAATTTCTTCCATTAGCAATAATGCTAATCTCGCGAACATTAAAATGATGAAAGTTAAAAGGGCTACGTTTAATATCTCCTACATAATCAGAATTTGAAACAAGTCCCAATGTAATACGTCTAGGAATCTGATCCATAAATAGATTGGCATTAAACTCATATCGACCCTGACTAATAAACAAAGGCTTCATCATAGTTTTTCTTATCGAGTAGCGAGCAGGTTTAGTTTCAAGTATTTTTGCAATGTCCAAAGCCAATCCGTCCATTAAGTCAACCTTCTTAACATAAAGTTTCATATTTGTTACTTCAAAATGATAACGCGTTGCTACTTCCATAGCATTTTGTAGTCCAAATGTCATAAGAACAAATCGGGAATCGTTTGGTATAATTTCGATATCAACCTCACAGTGATTTATCAAATAAAGTGGTTGATTGAAAATATCTGCATCAAGTTTAGCAATGAATTGTGCTGTTTTACTGTTTTCAAATAATCTTCGCCTTTCGATTGTATCTAAACCACCTTCTTGAGTTGAAGTATTATTATAAAAGTATCCAGCGGCATTTAAATGTGAGCTCTTTGCGTTTTGTGAATATGAGAGCTCATGTGAAAAATAGGTTTTGTAAGCATAAAGGGAATTTGAATTGAACACTTCTCTTCCATTAACACTTATTCGCATATTATTAATAAATGTCTGTCCTATAAGCTGTATTGGAGAAACATTGTCTGCGACAGAAAGATTTACAAGTTGTCCACTTTCATTTTCTTTTCGAATTCGAAATTCAGTAAATAAATAACATTTAGTCAAATCAATATAATTTTGACTTGCATGAATTTTAAAATGGTAAGGTGTATCGGTGAGTGGATTGCTTGGCAGAATTTCAAAGACTTTGGATGATGAAATACTTACATTTGTAGGTGGAATTTGAAAAAAGTCTAAAGCATTGGTAATTGAGTTGATACTATCATTATCAATTTTGTGAAAGGCCATTTTAGTAAAGACCAAAAACGTCTGATTTTACTCTTTTTTTAATCGGTTTGCCAATTAATGTTTGATAACTAGGTAATTTTCTCCCTTTTATACCCTTTTTTCTAACAAATCCAGAACCAAATTGTTTAGGTAGGCCTCCCTTCTCCAGTACAGTATCTACACCCTTCTTTCCTTCACTAATGAAAGCTTCTTTGATTGGTTCACCCTGACTAACTCTTTCAAGAACGCGTTGCCCTGTGTTAATTGCTTCTGACTTTACAGTATTTCCAACATTGCGAAGAACAGGAAGAAAGAAACGCCATAGTCCGCGCATAACATCACCGACTCCAGCTCCTTTTTGAATACCATATCCTCTTTGGAAGGGGGAAGACCCTCGAAAATAATCATATGATATTTCTCCACCACCGGACATCTCATTAGGATTGTTTTGGACAAAATCGTCATATCCTACTGTACTAGTATCAAAAACAACGTGCACCATTTTTTAATAAATAAAATTTATTTTAGAATTTAAATAATTACAAACACTATTTATATACACTTTGAAATAAAATCAAAAATTTATCACTTTTTTAAAGATCAAGACAATGAGCACAGTACCAAAAGAAAATGGTACTAATCTACCATTATCCATTGTTCTTATTTCAATCTCAATTTCGTTAACTTCCTTTGGTAAAACACGAGCATATATTGGCGAATCATAAATGTTTTCATTATATTCTCCAGGTTTTGCACCGGCCACAGAGACTACACGTAGAAGTGAACTTAAGCTATTACCAATAATCATATTTTCTGTTAGTCCTTTTGTATACACAGCAAAACTTGAAAAACCACCCCTTAAGTCACATCCATACTTTGCAATTTCTCTGTTTTGGACCATATTTGTATTTTCAAAACCCAAAACATATCCAAGTTGAGGGGAAAATGATAAATATTTAATACTTGTATGAGTAAATTGTACTTTAAAACGTTCGAAATCCTTGTGATATAATATTTCGATAGAATCAATTATTTGTTTTTGGACTGAAGCATCAACCTTATCCTTCTTTAAACGTCCATACTGTCGTAAAAGAGCTGGCATATTCGGTAAATAATTTATTCTGGCTTGTCGAGTGGGTGTTCTCCCTAGTACAGTAGTTAATATTTGTTCCATTTCTTCTGTCCATAATGGATCACTAAATGTTTCTTCAGGGGTTGGAAGAAGGGGAAGTTTTGAAAGATCCTCGGTAGCTGGTTCAGGTTGTGAAGGTTGAACAGGAGTTGTTGTTTCAGGGATCGGTGAAGGTTTTGAAATATCTGTAGATTTGGGAGGCTCGATTATAACAGGTGGAAGAGGGTGTTTTTCTGAAATATCTCCTTTTTGATGATCTTGTGAAACAGATTTTGTTGGAGAGGTATAACCAGGTAGAGACTTTAAAGAAGAAGGTTGATGAGTAGTCATTGATGTAGGGGTTGATGGTGTTGCTGGAGGGTGTATGTCTGTGTACGTTGGTAGAGGTGGGGGCCTGTAAGGTTCATCTTCTGCCTCTTTATCTCTAGCAATTCCTTCAAACTCAAGTGCCCTAAATCTATCCATTCTATAATTGACAAGTCTTTTGAGTCCATCAATTTTAGTATTTAATTCCCTCCTTCGATTCTCATCTGTTTCCTCATCATACAAAGTTTTTGTATTAGAAATTTCCTGATATGTAGCGATCAACCCATAAAAATTACTTCGTATTGCTGGCCAATAATCAGGGTTATCATTGAAAAATTTATCAACATAACCTTTATGGGTTAAATAATTCTCTCTATTATATTGTTTAACAGTTTTTTGTTTGTCCCTTCTTAGCACAGCAGCATCAAGTAAATTTACTCTCTTAGTCATTTTTTCAATTTCTTTCTTGAATCTTGGTAAAAATCCCTCTAAATGTAATGGTATTTCCTTTTTGTCTTCTATGAAGAGAGCTATTAGTTTTAGATGGTCTATAATTAATATTTCATTGTAATTTTCAGGATAAGTTTCGAAAAAATCAACAACAATATTAACATCTGAATTGTTCTTTTCAAAATCCCTTCTTTTTGCTTCTTCTTCCAATTTTCTAATTCGAGATGCTAAAGCACTCTTTTTGAAACTTAGGTTCCAAAATGTTGTTGTCATTTCACTTTTAATAGTCTCATCTTGTTGTTGATCTGTTCTTAATTTAAATTCATCTAAAGATTTTGAATCCTCTACAAGTTTATCTTTTAAAATTTTTATTTGGTCCCAATATTGATCAGGATAATCTATGAACACTTCATCAACTTTAGGAATGATCCCCACTCTAATTTGCCTTAACTCTTCTAATGAACGTTTATTTCTTGGGCGTTTAAGTGAGGGCAGATCAACTAAATCTTCAGGTTTTTCCAAAGGCGAAGCTCCATAAGTTTCGCTTTGATGTTGAAGTGTGGAAATTAAAAATTCATGTAATTTTTCAACAGTTGTATGCGACGCTTTTGGAACCGGGACTCTTAGAACTTTAGCCATTCCAAGATTATCTTTAAAATGTATATCAATCCATTGATCATCTAGTGTACCAATAGTTGCTGCCCAAGAATATGGATAATTTATACTATGTAATCCACAGACCCAGTTACCAGAAAAATAAAGTGGTTTTGGTAGATGAACTCTAAATTTATTTGGACGATTATCGGGATAATCGGGAATATTACTAGGTAGGAAGACAAAAAAGCTGTTTGACATAATTTTATCACAAAAAATTTTTACAATAATGAAAAAATGTTTTCTTTTATACTAATTGTGATTCATGAATCCATTCTCGTTCTGGGTATCCTATAAATTTAACCAGAATATCAAAGGTTCCGTCTGGTCTCTTTCTTTTTCTCACAACTTTTTCAATTCTATATTCTGTATCGGCATCCTTTCTTACACGAGTTAACTCTTCGTTGTAAAACGAACCTTTGAACTTTTCACCTTTATCATCCCGCACTTTGTATTGAATAGGTAAAGGGGTTTCTTTTATTTTATCCACTTGTAATATTTCATCTCCCCAATTTGGTATGTATCCTTTTTCAAATGCACCTTTTTCTAAGCTCATTCGTACAAAATCATCCTTTTTAAGTTTTGGTTTTATTTTATTATTATTAGTTGAAGAAAATATGTCTCCATAGATTCGTTTCCATACTTTTTGAGCGTTATCAAAATTGACATCTATAGGTCGCATTCCATGAGTTCTACTTTTTGCTTTATTTATTCCTTCTAAAATTTTTTCAAGGACATCAATCCAATTTAATGTTTTCTTTTGTGCAAAATTTCGGTAAAGTCGTTGTTTAACATTACGAATTGCTCTTTCGGCAACAGAAGCTTTGACGATAGAATGTGTTGGTTCATGTTTTTTTATACCCTCTTTTTCAAAAAAATCTTTCATTTGTTTATTTTTAAATTCTGTTCCTTTATCTGAAAATATCCTTTGAGGTTTCATAGGCATTTGTGAAATTAATTTTTTGAAAGCTTCTATCATTTCTTCAGTCTTTTTGGATTTGACAGGAACACCAAACACTCGTTTAGATAGAACATCAATACCTAGAAGCAAATAACGATTTCCTTTATTATGTTGGGATAACTGTTGGAAATCTGCCAAATCAACTTGAACATCTGTCATAAACCCAGCAGCTACAGTTTTTGATCTTTTAAAACGGATGCGTTTAGGACGCATAAGAGTATATGTTCTATGTCCTTCTAGGTAATGTTGAACAACTTTTCTTGGTATATGTTTGAGAACTTTACGTGCTTCATACCAAAGTCTGTCAATTCCTGAAAATGCCGCAGGGGATTCTGGGTTATTGTATAGATCATCAAGTAATTTAGTATAATCCGCCATTTATTTACCAAAGAGATGGTTTAAAACTGTTGATATCTTTTTGTGTCGGTTTCCTTACTGCCCATTTACTTTTTGATTTATAAACATTTCTTTTCTTCAGATTTTTAACCCATAATCTCGAGGCTCTTTGTGATTGTTTTTTGTTGACTTTTCTCTGGACTTTAGCAATCGTATGTCCGTCTCCTTGCGACCACTCCGCTTTTCGTTTTATTTTTTGACGACTTAAGGGCGGAGAGGGAGATCTTCCCTCTCTCATGACTTTTCTAAAACCTTTTGGTGCTTCACTTTTCTCTTTATTACGTACTTGTTGAATAACATAAGGGTCTAACGGAACCTTAAGTTTCTGTGACTTTCGGCGTCTCGCTAATAATTGTTGTCTTTTTTCATATCGTTTCCTATCAAGTTCCTTCGATTTATTCTCTTTTTGTTTTATTTCTTGTTCCCTTCTGTTGTCATAAGTCTTTTTCCTCTTTATATTTTCAAATTCACCCTGCTCTAATTCTCTTTTAATAATTCGTTGTTGAGGTGAAAGATGAGTTGATATTATTGGCAAATCTTGTGATAATATAATAGAGTCTTGCTTTGTACTACCTATTTTCGAATATTTTGTACTTTTGCGTCTTGAAAATTTTTTGTTTGGTTCAGACACTATTTCCTTCTTTATTATTTTAAGATTTGTAGTTGGAGGTAGTGGAGGAGAAGGTGGTGAGCTTCTCCTCAATTTTTTAAAACGTTTTTTAATTGATGTGGATGATGATGATAAAGATGGAGGATGAGGTAGTTTTTGGGGTTTAAAATTAATTATCGATTTAACATCTTTAGTGGATTGAGGAAAAGATGGAAGAGAAATATCATCAGTTGTTAATATTTCATCATCGTCTTCGACTATATTAGACGATGGACGTGTAGAATTGGTACTCATTATTGCTCCCTTAGGCGTAGCTACCATTTCTACTTTGACAGGCTTATTTTGTTGCTCATTTCTCATTTGTAAATACCGCCTGAGTTCTTGGTTATATTTTACATTTTTTGCACTTGGATTATCTTTCTTTCTTTTAATTTTTTCAAGATCATTTCTAATTAAATCGAGATTAGGTTCACCGGTATCAAATGTAGTTAGTCCTTTATAAATTTCTTCGGGAACAAGAATGAATTTATTTGCCATGATTTGTTACTTTTTGTATTATTTGTCGCTTTTTATAGAGCTTCCTAGTGATTTTGCTAATTCTATGAGAACAGGGGTCAATAACGCGGCAAAAGTTCCAATACCTCCACCTTTTTGATTTAAAATTTTTCTAGCCCCGTGTTCACTTCTTACTCTACTCATTTTGCGCACAAAATCAGCATATGGAAGTAGTCGCCTCCTTTGCCAAGGTGTAAGTTTGAGTCTATCCTTTATAATATTCAGACAAATTTCAGTTATAGCTAACAACTGATTTGTATTTGAGAGTCTTAGCATACGTTGCAATTTGCGTTGAGATCTTGTTTTTGCAAGAACTTGTAAAAATTTTGAATTTTTCTGAATAATTTGACTGACCATTTATGCTCTATTTTTTGGAATAAAAATAATTTTTTCTTCATCTTCTTTAAATATACTTGTGCGTAGTCTCAGTCCAGGGTC